TTTTAATCCATCTCTAAACTAGTATCGCATACGTTTAGCTTTGTATCTAAATTCATATTTAGGTTTCTAGTTACTTTCCAACCCTTAGCTTTATAAATATTAAATCGTGAATATTAAACGACGATAGAAGAAACCAAATGCATGCGTAATATATAATACACTTAGAACCTACCCCTCCTAACACAATTTCTAGACAATAGCTAAGCTAGCTAAAGCTATAATTATCGCCGGGTAAAGACTTTAAGACCCAGTACACACTAATAATAATATTTACTCTTGCTATTTAGTATTAGAAGAGAGTTTTTACGAATAACTTAGCCATCCTAAAGGTGGCTAGGACTGTTAGTTCCAACAGATTTAATAATTGTCTTATAATACTCTCAAAGTGACTAGGCCAGCGTAATGAATTATATTATGTTCATTTCACAATACCTCCTCCCTACCGAGGTTTTATTTATTATTCTCCCCCACCCATTAATGTTATAAGACTTTATTCATCAATGGTCCAGCGGGATATAGTCTCTTTTACTCCAACTACTCCTCATCATCACCAGGGAGCTAAATTTCATGTCCGTTCCCTTCTTAAACAAGGAAACTAAGTCCGCATCCTAGTAGGGCAATAATACACATTATCTACCACGCTAGTTCCATTATACCTCGCTCTAAACTATAGCCAAGCACAATACCGCCAAACACAGAGCTTATTAAGCGAGAGAACGATAAGAGCAAGACTACAGCACTATACGTTCTCCCTAGGGCTATCAGATGTGGTGATACACTAGCCTTAAGTTAGTAAAGACTCTCTCATCAGGTAACTACCACTTACTTATTAGTCAGCATAATCTACGCAAGAAGAACAAACATTCCTAAGATGACCGACAATGTCTAGACTACACCAATAACCAACCAAACTATAACGCTGGCGCCACGTGTCGATAGTATTTTAGACTTCAGAATAACAGTAAAGGGCGTAATAAAGTAACATAACGGGAAACCAAAAAGGAAGAAGCGCCACAACTTCGTGGTTCCGAATTTCTAAGACAATCGGGGATAACCAAACACTTACACAGGTATGCCAACTAGTCCTAGCAGAGCTATAGAAGCAGCCACTTACTTAACCAGCATACCTAATCCCCTAAAAAACTGGAAAGGATTTTGTGCGCTGCTCGAGTGCCAAGTAACAACTAGTAGACTTAGAAAACTTAGCCATAGTGTGTTGTATGCCCCAAGATAGCCCTCGAGAATACCTTAGCAGACAATTGTGAGGCAGACATTTAGGGTAAACATGCGACGAAGAGGCAGTATCGCCAATTAAAGACGCGGTTTAGTTGGATTTTACGGTCCTAGTAGCTCTAGTAAAATTTCACTTTCTTCCTCTTCGAGGTTTTAGTACGAAACCTATAAGTACTTAGCCTCGTTTTTAGTAGGATAGAGCATCCTAGAAATCTTTTAGGCAATATATAGTCTATAATTATACTTATTGCGAAGGGGCTTAAGTGTCTGTTCTATAACTCAGTACACCATTGTTTTGTATACTTCGCAATACACATACCTCCTTCAACCTCAGAACCACCAAAGCTAGAGCCACTATAAGAATGGCTCCATTAAGCAGAGCGGGCTTTACAAATGGATATTAGCTAAGCAATAGAGCATTTGGAGACGGTTTCACCCCAGAATACGAGGAACCTACTACTATACTTACTATAACCGGACTAATTACCACGGCAACATTAAATGCTATTAGCATTAACAAGAACGCGCGTTGCTTATACCTAATTTTCGATTTGTTAGATCTACAGTAAAAGAGAAGTGCGGCTGCATATAGAGGAACAAGCTTACCACAGATCCTAAATAACTTCAGACACTATCATTCTAATTACAGCAACGTTACCGTTAACTAAGCCTTCAATAGCACGCACAACCACAGCCTAGGTAAAGTTACTTACGAATCTGAAAGCAACGCAGCTTAACACTATATTTTTAGTCTTAATACCATCGTATAGGGCAAGGATCTTACTAGAGCCTAACAGGCCAATAGTGAGCACCATCTTCCTTCCTCCCTTAGGTAAGTCTGCCACTCTGCCCCATATCAGGGCAGTGATGCATTAGCATATAGTAAATACAGTCTGCAGAAAGGCTGCCTACTCAACAATTTCCTTTGGTGTCAAAGCTAGATCGAATGATCTTAACTAATAGTATATGTACAACTTAGAGACATTGTTAGTTGTTCGTAACAACCATCTATATTTTTATAGGGACTTACCACAATTGATGTACGTACTAGAGGCTTACAAAATCGTGCAAAGACCAGTACTACGAGCTGATCTTTGTGGGGCAGAGACAACTATGTGACTGGAGCTTCCATAATATAGTTTAATTCAAAGGACTATTCAAGGCGACACTTAGAAGATAATTTGCAGGGAAAAAGGATCAGACGTATATTATAGGCCGCGAGTCGGAATGCTATTATTCAATCCGCGGTATACGTTAATGGCTATCTATTTGTTCGGCTACCTCGCCTGATCTACCCGGCGAATAATGGGTATTAAACATTGAATTGGCCCTAAAGTTTTATCTTGTAATGGAAGAAAAGAAAAGGATATGGCAGTAATGGGGGTTTTATTACGGTGCTAGGGCATTTCTGGGCGAGCTGTATGATGCGAGTGGGGAATGGATTTGTGAAATTTCTTGTTATATATTTGGAATAATTAGATCTTAGTCTTCTATAGCAAACGTAAGCATATTATTAATGACTAGGTATAATAGAAACCTGTCTTTATTTAGTTTTTTAAATTTAACAACCTCTTGCTACTTAGTATTAGATTTAGAAGGTATGGTTTCTATGGCTGTAGAATAACGAAGAGTAACTAGAGCTTTTGGTTAGCCTGCTCTTTCTGTTGCAAATTAGGGTGCTATATTTTACTAAAGTAAGAGACTATGGAGTACCTCCGAGCAGATAGGTTGTATAACATGTGAGTAACTATAATTAGTTAGATCTGGGATTGTATACCACAATTGTAAGATTGGTTTACTATATGTAAGAAGCCTAGAAGCTGCTATATGTGCAGCTTCGTCGAACCCCAGCTTTGAAATGATCTCCAACCCTAGCCTATAGGTTTATGAGCCTCTACACAAGTACCTAAAGCATGCGTGTGAAGCTAGAAACAAAGACTAAGTTGAAAGAGTTATATCTATATTATTTCTACCGATTTTCTAGATACTGCTGTAGCAAGAGGCATTAAATACCACAATCAACTTCATATCTAGAAGCGGATTTTGAAAAAGACCTTTTTTAAAACACTGAGAACTGAAACATTGAAGTTCGGACCTACAAGGAGCATTGTGAAAGACACGGAAAGCGTATAAACGATCACTGCGGTATGTTAGTTATGAGATTCGGCTATTACTCGCTGTCTGCCTGCAAATCTGGATTAATATTGGTACGAAGCTAACCGGCAATTATGAATGTGATGGGTAGTCAGATATTGACTTTTGGTTACTGGCTCGGAATTCGGAAGGCCCTTGTTACCTATACCTAACTAAGAGGTCTAATAAAGACCTTAAAATCTCCGAGCTGGATGGATTTAAGTTTTTATGTGAATGGACTAAAGGAGGCTTAGTAGATGAGGTAAAGTGACAACTGGCGTAATATAGCTATATGTAACGGCGGCTTCCTGAGCATGGTGTTCCAATTTGGCCCCTTACGCGAGCGGGGTAACTTTTCTCGCCTTTCTGAGTCTAGTGCAACGTCTAAAATTGAGGTAACCAATTCGCAACTAAATGCGAAAATTATTTGTTTTGTAATAAATGCGCAGTTGTGGGAAGCTTGTTGTATAAGACGATAGATACGAGTACGAATTCGCGCGGGACGCTGAGATCACGTGATTTACATTATTAGTAGAATAGGTCTAGGTCGTATTGAGTGACTATAAGTAGGGCCAGTGCAACTAGTATGAGAACTTGTCTATTACCAATTAATCGGCACCCTCTCTGTACTTCATATGTGTTCAGTGTTCGTAGAAGCGTTTCGTCATTCAGAGAATTATAGCAGTTAATATCGAATAAAAGATTTCGCGACTGAGTTCTATACAGACAAGCGATGTAATAAAGAAGATGGCAAATTTCTAAAAAGGATAACTATACTCATCCCATGGAGCCTAGTTCTGCCGAACTAGGCCCTGTTAGATAATGCATTGATTGGCTAACTAATGTAGTAAGAGCGCGAGTATATATAGGTGAAATATTAGGTAGCTAGGCCTAGCTACCTTCAAGGCGTTTTATTCGCCCTTGATATTTAACACTCCCTCTTAGCTAATAATCTATAGCCTATTATTTTAGCCTTATTCAACTCTAAAACTAGTACTTAATCTACTCTATTAATTTATATTTATTATACTATTATATTATTAAGATATATGCCTGTAGAGGTGCGTAAAGTTAGTAAGGTAGTTAACTCGCTTGCTTAACGGACTCGCATATCCGTCACGTTATGCATTGTTTTATAAGTTTAGTTCTTTATATTGTGGTGTAGTATCACGTGACCAGCTTGTAGTATATATTGCGATTTTCTTTCGCACGTGGGTAGGCACCTTCTCCAATCAATCCTTTGCAGCGATTAGATATCAGCTTGTTTCTATCTACTCGATTGCGGGTCGCCCCTCTGATCTTTTGAGCTCGATCACTTATTGTGCCACAACAGATAGAGGAGATGTTTGTCTTCTAGTAGTTCTTTACGTTCTTTTGCTTCGACTTCCTTAGACTTGTTGGATATAAATGTCTTGTATAGTATATTTAAGCTCCATGGCATAGACACGTAACTAACTATAGAAGGTGAATATGCTTGAACAACTTCCGTGATACTCCCAAAAGCAGATATGATATGATCATTTATTTCTTGGCACCATACGTACCAGGAACACTTGGATCTCGAAGGCATGTTTCTCTATCTGTTTCCAAAGGATGTCCGAGAGAAGCAATGTAATTGGTCAACGAGACCTCGCTCATCCCACCTTGACCAATTCCAATGCCTTGCACATGCAGGATGTGATAGATGATACCTCGTAAGTTAGTAATTTTAAATATAGGATGGTAGAGGTTGCTCACATTGGGTGTATCAAAGATGCTGTAATGATCTCCACAGGTTTCCAAAACCTTTATGATAAAGTCTTCGTAGGCATCCTCCCAGCCCAAGTACGGCATACTTCGGGTCTTGTCTAGCAAGCACATCTCATTTGGATTCACCATCGGAACGAGAGACTTTGCGCGAACTAGCACGACCGGTGGTGGAATTGGAACATTCTTGCCATGAAACTTGGCATCAGTAGTGTTCCAAGCTGGCGGTTGCCACTCGTCGCACAAACAAGTAGCCCGGATCAAAGACGTGAGGACCTTTTCCTTGACATCTTGAGTAACACCAGGCATCATTGGTCCTTGTGAATCCATATCGAGCACACGTTTTGGAGTACTAGAATAAATCGAATCCACCAAAATAATGCCAGAGACGCGAAGCCTTTTGTTTTCCATGGCTAACATGTGCGCAATCTGGACAGCTAGAATGCCGCCAAATGACCAGCCTGTAGCAAATGTTTAGCTATCAATCCGTGTGTTAAGTTGATAAGGGAGCAATGATTATTACCTCCAAGCACAATATCGCCCCTGAGCATTACCTTCTTGATCAGACGAATGTACATACGCGCCATCTCAACCACGCTCTGCCACCCGCCTCCACCAGACTGTTCAAAACGAGGATCGTATATCCCATATACTTTACGACCTAACGCACCGAGCTGAAAATAGCTGAAGATAGTACCACTCGCATCATGAACCAAGAACAATGGCGGCTGTACAGAAGGTGATCGTGGCACATCTTGTATCAGAACTGGATTTGAGGCATGCATTTTGGTCAGGACAGGACTCTGCTTGCGATACTTCCTAATATCGCAGTAGTGAAGGTCTTTGTTTAAACACTGAGATTAACAGGAACTCTGATGAAAGAAATATTTCATGGACAATGCATTCAAGGGGCAAGGACCTCCCGGGACTTTTCCGAGTAGCCAAGCTAGAACGGCATCCCGTCGGTCCGGGCATGATGGACCCAAATCTAATCTCCTTAATGTCAAGCGCGATGCGCTAGCTCGTAGCTGTATCGTATCCGACGGGTGTTAATGATAAAGCATTTGGGCCGGCTTTATGGCTGGTTTATTACCCGGTTTCTCGGTGAACATCGGACCGTAGCTAAGCGTGCATCAGCCCTTATTTCACTCTTTGCGATACGACAGACGATTGGCTGGAATAACATGCTATAAAATTCCTCAAGCAAGTAGCAATGCAATGCATGCATCCGTGGATCTTCAAGAACAAGACGTCACCAGTTCCGCATTCCCTTCCCAGTCATGACATCAACAAGCGCACAAGTAATGCATGGAGAGTTCAGCAACGACGTTGATGCAACAGCACAAACACTTGTTAAGCATTGCGCTGATGTGCTATCAATATCTCTGGAACAAATAGACCTTGCATCGTCTTTTGCATCTCTTGGGGGTAAGTGCTCTCTTATCCTTGTCGGCTCATTACACAAATTGAACATATCTAAAGGGGACTCATTCCGAGCTGTATTGCTGCATCGCCGATGTTTTGAAGAAGGAATACACGTCTCATTACGTGATATTCTTTTGAAGAAGAGCCTTGCTCAAATTGCCGCTGCAGCGTGTGAAAGACATGCAGATGCTACTTCAAGTCTTCTCCTAGCAGGTTCAGGTTCTCAAGACCACCCCAAGTTTTCGCGAATGCCTCGTGACTACGATTTCAACGCCATTCGAGAGGAGCTCCAAAATAAGGTTCATCAATCGTCAGAGTCAGGCCTTGATCTCATCGATGATGTTTACCCGTGCAGCCCCATGCAGGAAGCCATGTTCATAGGACAAAAGACGCGAACGACACAATTGTATAGAACCATAGGTTTATTTAAGGTGCGAACGGCTACAATTCCACAGGCAGTAGAAAGGTGTTGGCAGCAAGTGGTAAACCGGCACCAGACTTTACGCACCATCTATGTTCCAGCTGCAGGAGGAACCGGCCGCTTGCTGGATGCAGTTGTGCTGAGGAATGTACAAGCTTCCGTCTCTCATAAGCGTTGCAGAGACAAGACCGAAGTGCAAGAGAAATATATCTCCAGGTGCAACTCTGACTCCCCATTCATGAATGGGGTATTACACCAAGCATTCATCTGGTCAACCGACAATGGCGAAATATTCTGCATCCTCGATCTCAGCCATATGATAACCGACGGATCTTCATGGGTTCTTTTGATTGAGGACTTTTCTCGAGCTCTACGAGGAATTCAATCGCTCAGCGTCGCACCAGGATACGATCGATATGTTGACTATATCCGGCTTGATCCGAACGCAGATGCAGCGCTTGACTACTGGATGCAATACTTGGAAGAAGTTGAGCCATGCAAATTTCCTGTTCTCGATGGTGACATAAGAGCCGCTACTGAGATTGGTGAGCTCTTTGAAGTTCAGTTCACAGAGTTTGACGAACTTCAGCGATTCTGCAAGCACAACGAGACGACAATTTCTGCAGTATTGCAGACAGCATGGGCCTTGCTTCTCCGCAACTATACTGGTAATTCGGACGTATGCTTTGGTTATCTCTCTTCTGGACGGAGCCTTCCCATTCACGGAGTGGAGGCAATCGTTGGGCCTCTTATCAATCTGCTTATCTGCAAAGCAACTGGTCTGAATGATCGGTCAGCGAGAAGTATCTTGGAAGAAATCCAAGCAGACTTTGTTGACGCCCTACCACATCAGTGCGTTTCATTGCAGCAGGTGCATCAGATTCTTGGGATGAACGATTCTTTTTTATTCAACACATTAGTGACGGTACACTATGCTCCCGCCATGGTAGATGGAAGCACTGAGCTCGCACTCTTGGCCTCCTCTAACAAGACCGAGTTTGACATCGTGGTAAAAGTCCTGTACTCGGAAGACAATATGCGCGTCCGGCTGAGCTATCGCCCAACTGTCCTGTCGCGCTCAATGGCCGAACGGGTTACGAATACATTCTCGACAGCGATAAGCATCTTGCTGAAATTGGACAACTTGGACCAGTCATTGGGCCCAATCGACTGCCTTAGCAGTGGCGATCGCGACCAAATCAATGACTGGAATATGCAGACATTTTCTAGCGGCGGGGTGTGGCATCCCACAACGATCCACTCGCTCATAGAGAATACGGCAAAATGCCAGCCCGATGCTTTGGCTGTAGATGCTTGGGACGGCGCAATGAGCTACGAAAGAATAAACGAGTTGTCTACAACACTGGCCAACGAAATTATGCAGTTGGGTATTGGACCTGGTTTAGCAATCCCCCTTTGCTTCGAGAAATCCGCTTGGTACACTGTTGCGCTGTTGGCTGTCTTGAAGAGTGGGAATGCTTTTGTTCCTGTGGATCGCTCCAATCCCACAAATCGCATCTGTCAAATTCTTCGCCAACTGGACATTGACGTTAATTCAGGTCTTGTTATAACGTCCCGTGAGCATGTACAGACGTTCGTGCCTCTCTGCAAACATGTCATTCCTTTGGAACCAAATTTCTTTGCGAAAGAGAAAACATATCCAAGATTTAATATGCCAGAGGTTAGCGCTCATGATAAGGCTTACGTGATATTCACATCAGGGTCGACTGGTATGCCAAAGGGTGTCGTAGTGGAACATGGTGCATATGCATATGCAGCCCGAGCACATCAAGGCGGACTACACATTTCAAACACGTCCAGAGTCTTACAGTTCGCATCTTATGGGTTCGACACGAGTATGGAAGATCATCTAACAACACTCATAGTGGGAGGCTGCCTCTGCGTTCCGTCCGAGGAAGAGCGTCTGTCAGATCTAGTGGGATTTGCGAATCGTTCCAAGGCTAATTGGGCTCATCTAACACCTTCTGTCGCTAACATTTTTAATGCTGAAGAGACTCCAGTGCTGAAAACCATGGTCTTAGGAGGTGAAGCCATGACACTGCGCAATGTACAAGCTTGGGCTGGGAGGCCAAACAAGCGCCTTATCCAAGTCTACGGCCCTTCAGAATGTTGTGTAACAAGCACTATCAGCGAAGATGTATCGTATAACATGGATCCAACAAATATCGGCCGCGCACTTCCAGGGTGCGCTTCTTGGATCGTCCGTATCGACACTCCTCATGCACTCGCACCTATCGGTGTCGTTGGCGAGCTGCTTGTGGAAGGACCCATCTTGGCAAGGGGGTATCTGATAGAGCCGGAGAAAACGATATCAAGTTTCGTGACCGGCTTGGAGTGGGCACCGCAAAAGCGGTTGTATCGCACTAAGGACCTAGTGTATTATGATTCCGAGGGCGACCTTCACTTTGTCGGTCGCGTGGATGCACAGGTAAAAGTCCATGGCCAAAGGATCGAGCCAGGCGAGATCGAGCGAAATCTGGCTTTGGAGGGATCATTACTGCACAGCATTGTCTTGGTGCCAAACGCAGGACCATGTGCAGGCATACTAGTCGCTGTCATTGCACACCAACGTCAATCGACCCAGGATGTGTACGACATGGCCACCTTCGAAAGGCCGGAGACTTCCTACATCTCAAACTTACGCAACTTTCTTCTCGACCTTGTCCCACACTATATGATACCAGCTATTTGGCTTGTTGTACGTGACATGCCTCACAACACTTCCGGGAAGCTGGATCGGAAGCGCATGCTCAAGTGTCTCGAAGAAATGGATGATGATGAGTATGATGACTTGGTAGGTAGTGTTGAGAATTTCAGTGTTGAGCCACCAATCAATAGCCTCGAGATGGGCCTTCGAGAGGTATGGAGCACTGTGCTGAATGTCCCGGAAGCAGACATTGGCAGAAGCAATACATTTTTTTCGTACGGTAAGTCTCCCAGCACCCACAATTCTCTTGCAAATGAGTCAAACTAAGTATCGCCGATCCAGGTGGCGACTCGATATCTGCTATGGCCGTCAGTAGTGCAGCGCGTGCCAGGGGTATTGCGATATCAGCAGCTAAGGTACTTCGCCATCAGACCATCGGGCGCCTCATGGAGAATCTTGATACGGACGTTGATCAGGCACTTTTCGCCGATTTTGGGAGGACCGAGATCGGTGTAGCATGGCCACTTTCACCTATTCAGCAGATGCATTTCCAGGCTTCAGCTAAAGGAGATCCGCTCGATCAGCAAGTAATGGTTTTGAGCATAACGAAGCATATTTCGGACGATCTTCTTCATAACGCTTTCCGACATATAGTAGAAGTGCATCCCATGCTGCGGGCTCGTTTTACTCCAACTATTGATGGATGGGTACAGCACATCACAGACGATGTTTCCGGCAGCTTTGCGCTACGATTTCACCACGCAGACTGCACTCATAAGGACATTGTCCAGCGCATTGGCAGCACTAAGCTTTCTGTCGATATGGTCAATGGGCCACTTGTCGGTATTGACATCTTTGGGTCGGGCGAGAAAAGGTTTGTTTCTGTTACAATCCACCATTTGGTAGTTGATGCAGTCTCCTGGCGCGTCATTCTAGAAGACCTTGAAGGCATCATTGCCCGAGGAGCGCCTGCACGACCCGAACCCGTTCACTTCCAAGCTTGGGGCCGTGCTCAGGTAGAACAGGCCCGAACGCGTCTTGATCCTGCTCGTGTACTTCCTGCCGGTCTAGATATCGAAAGTGCCAATACATATTTCTGGAAAATGGAAGGACAGCCGGTATTCTTTCAGGATTCGGCATCGAAGAAGCTTCAACTGAGTAAAGCTTCGTCGCAGGCATTTGGAGCATGCAAGTGTCACGGCTTCGATCAGGTAGACTTGCTTTCAGCAGCCGTATTGCTCTCTTTCCTGGACCTTTTCGGAAGACCTTCTGCTTCATTGTTCGTAGAGGGACATGGACGCGAGCCGTTTTATCCTGGATTAGATCTGTCCCGGACGGTAGGATGGTTCACAACATTGGCACCTATCGCGATTGACAAGACGCTCGATGCGGTGGCAGCACTTCGCAAAATCAGGGATCTCAGGAAAACCACACCAAATAAAGGTTACGACTACTTCACGTCGCGGTTTCTCAACAAGAAGGGCGTCGAGGCTTTCCAACAGCAGCATTGGCCCATGGAGATTGTTTTGAACCATCTAGGGCGGTACCAGCAGTTGGAAAGACAAGATGCTCTCTTTCGGCGCTGCGAACCGGCTTTGCAGTCAATGCTCTCACAGCTACGCCTACAGCAACGTGTTCAGTCGCAAAGATACAGCCTTATTACGATACTCTCGGCAATAGAAGATGGTGTTCTTACCGTTACTGTAGAGTGGAACAAATACATGAAACACCAGAAAAAGCTTAAATCCTGGCCGGCAATGATCAAGGAGCAACTTGAGCGCTTGCTCGACATCATGTGTGGGCAAGCAGTCGATCCGCTAGCAGAGTTAGCTGCATCCGCAATGACGATTGGAATAAGTCAACAAGAACTTCATGGTCTTCTGGAGGCTATGCCAACTAGCCCCGGCGTACTCCTGGGCAACATTGAAGCCGCATACCCTTGCTCGCCCATGCAAGAGAGTCTACTCTTCAGTCAGTTAAAAAATACTAACCCTTATAATCAACATTTCCTTTTTCAACTCATGCCTGGTTACGATGATCCTCTTGAGGGACGCCAGGAGCGCTTATCCAAGGCGTGGGCGCGCGTCGTGGAAAAGCATGCTATTTTGCGAACTGTGTTTGCAGAGTCCTCTTCTCATGGTTTCATGCAAATTGTGCTACGGAAAGCTACGCCGATGGTTGAGTGGATTCGAAGCAAGAGCAAAGAGGCGGTAGTCAAGACATGGGAGCAAGACCTTCTGATGCCAGGGCCTCTTCCACTGAGTGGGAAGCTGCTCCATTCCCTCAAAATCTATATTGTGGAAGATGGCACAATTTTCTGCCAACTCGACAAGAACCATATTATCAGCGACGGAATCAGCTCTCGCATTATGATTCAAGATCTACTCGATGCGTATGGCGATCGATTAGAAGGGTTGTCAGCGTCGTTCAGTGACTACATCAATCACATCAATGAAACTGATGCAGGAGAAGCAGAGAAATACTGGTCTCGGTATCTTGATAGTGCCACGAGATGTCACTTTCCACAGCTTGCTCCGCCAGTTAACAAGGGCAGTCAGGCTATGCCAACAGAGAAAGTGGAGCTAGTGCTCGACAACAAGAGAGCCCTCGAGCTGAAGTGTCGCAACTTTGGTATATCTAACAGCAGTGCACTGCAGGCGGCGTGGGCACTGGTGTTGAAGACGTACTTGAATTCAGAAGCAGTCATATTTGGCTTCCTTGCTTCGGGTAGAGATATACCCATACCGGGCATTGACAAGATTGTTGGGCCAATGGTTAACATGCTTCCTGTCCGAGTACAAGTCACCCCTGGAAGCAGTATGATCGAGCTGGCGCGAGGTATTCAAGAAGACTACCTGGAGCACCTTTCTTGGCAAACAGTATCCTTGGGACGGATGCAACGTGCCGTCGGAGGTGGCGACAGTCTGTTCAACACTATCGTCAACATCCAGAAATCTCCAGTGGCGCAGAATCCGATTGATACAAATCCCAAGGAAACTACAGCAGAGCTAGTTAAGAGTCACGATGCTAGCGAGTATGGAGTAGCAGTGACCATAACCGATGAGCAAGACCGATATATTGTGTCTGTAGAATTCGCAACTAGCTTGCTATCGGTCCAACAGGCCTGTCATGTCGTCGCCGCCTTTGGCCGAGCCGTAGACTTGATGGTGCAGGAGCCAGAGAAGCCGGTTGCTGAGGCCAGCCTATTCAGTCAGCTGGATGAACAACTAGTTCAGGCATGGAACATAGACGAGCCGTGCCTTGTACAGCGTTGCATCCAGGAGCTAATCCAAGAAAGCGTACAGCGACAGCCAGCAAGCACTGCTGTTTGCTCGTGGGACGGGGAGCTGACATACGAACAATTGGACAGGTTTTCCTCGGGGGTGGCATGCAGGTTGGTATCGAGCGGCGTGCAACCCGAACATGTTGTGGCGCTCTGCTTCGAGAAGTCCATGTGGGGTATCGTAGCCATGGTGGGGGTGGCCAAATCTGGAGGTAAGTACTAGATATTGCCAGTTGATGTCTCACAATCATTCAATATGTGGGGGTTAGCGTGCTGATGAATATATACAGGCACGTTTGTGCACATCGACCCTCAAGCACCACGCGCACGCGTGCAAGCTATCACGGAGCAGACTCGATGCAAGGTTGCACTCGTAGCACTCAGTTGCCACACATTATTGGATGACTTAGTTGGAGACGTACTGCTGCTGACCAGCCATGCTGCTGAAGAATGGTGTAGCATGGATGTGGCTAGCCTTGCGACCGTCCAACACAAACCGACCAACGCTCTCTACGTAATCTTTACATCCGGAAGTACTGGAACACCTAAAGGAGTCGTTATCGAGCATCAAAACTTCTGCTCAGCAGTAATAGCCAACAGGGAGTGGCTACAGATCCAAGCCACGTCGCGGGTCCTGCAGTTTACCAGCTACAGTTTTGATGCTTCGCTCGAAGAGACATTCACTGCGCTAGTGGCGGGAGCATGTATCTGTGTGCCGTCGGAACAGGACCGCATGTCGGATGTGACTGGCTTCATACAACGCGCTGCTGTCAACTGGGCCGCTTTTACGCCTTCATTTTTGCGTTCGCTCGAGCCACACGATGTGTCCTCGCTCGACTTCATGACGGTGCATGCTGAACCCATGAGCCAGGCGTTGGTGGCGCGGTGGGCAGACCTTGTGCATATGCGACCCAGCTATGGACCTACCGAATGTTCGGTTACCAGTGCTGTTGGCAAGCGTATGACGGCCCGCTCCGACGCCGCCAATATTGGCTGGCCTGTTGGTTGCCGTGGCTGGGTCGTTGATCCTGGGTGTCTAGATACTCTCGTGCCTGTAGGTGCTATCGGTGAGCTAGTGCTTGAAGGCCCCATTGTTGGCCGCGGCTACCTACGCGATCAGCAAAAAACCGCCGCCGCATTTGTCACATTTTCCCCGGCTGGCCAGAAACCACGGCGCGTCTATTGCACTGGTGATCTCGTGCGCTATGCTACCGACGGTAGTCTGATTATTTTAGGTCGCCGAGATGACTCGCAGGTCAAAGTGCGTGGTCAGCGCGTCGAGTTGGCCGAGATCCAACATCATCTTGACCTCGTCCCTGATTTCGCCAATTCCCTTGTATTGCTCCCCAGCAAAGGTCCGTTACAGGGCAAATTGACGGTCGTCGCCAGCCTGAAAGATGACATTGACCCATGTCCATCCTCCCTCCAGCTCATCCACTCGTCGCCCGGTTGGACTTCAACGCGAGCAACCTATGCATCTCATGTGCTTACAGTCGTCCAAAAGGCCCTCTCATGCAAACTTCCCACCTACATGGTTCCTCATACATGGCTCCTAGTCGGTAAGCTACCTTTGCAGATCTCGTGCAAGATCGATCGTAAACTCGTAGCTACATGGCTGGAAACATTGGACCCTGATGCGGTACTCGTCGCTAATCGACTACGAAAGCCGATTTCCTCGTCTGGCTCCAAAGTTGAGGAGACTATCCGACGCGTCTGGGCCGATGTCTTAGCCATCGACCATTGCGAGGCCGAACTTATCCATCTGGATGATCCCTTCTTTGCCATGGGAGGCGATTCCATTTCAGCCATGCAGGTGACTCGTCAGTGCCGAGCCATGGGGCTTAGTCTCACAACGCAAAATGTGCTTGTAGAGCAAACCATCAGAAAGCTGGCAGTCATAGCTGCGTCTGAACGGCCTGTGGCTACACTCGAACCTCAGATAGAGGCAGCTGTAAACGTGCAACAAGAGATTGACCCAACTGTGCTACTCCCTGCTGGCTCAAGTATCGTCAACATTCTCCCTTGTTCCCCATTCCAGGAATACACTCATCAAGCTTTACAGACAGATCCGACGACACCATATCTTTACCATACCTTGGTAGAAATAACATCGGATGTTGGTCTGAATGCGACCGCCGCAGCGAGAGCATGGCGAGCCGTTGTGGACCGCCACTCCATTCTTCGAACCGTCTTCGTGCCGGCCAAGAACGGCGACAAAATATACCAGGTAGTATTGCACGATAGTTCAGTTGACTGCTCCATCACCTCTGTCGACAAAGTCTCCTCTATTGACGAAACTGCGAACTTACACATGACCGACATCCGATCCAAGTGTTTGGCGTCAGCGGTACCACCATTAGCACTACGACTCTTTGTCCTAGATTCAGGGCGTATGTTTGCTCTCCTTGCTATTGGACACATGATAATAGACCACGTCAGTCTAACACACATCCTCTCCGATTGGGATCGCTTCTGTCGTGGCTGGAACCCTTTGTCCGATCTAGATGTCCTACCACCCTTCCGCCACTATATCCACCACTTATCAAGCCGCAACTTAGCTTATAGCACGAATTTCTGGGAGGGCAGGCTGCGCAATCTTCTACCTTGTCAAGTTTCCGATCCAAATTCCTGTTCTGTCGGTGATTCACAATCCATGGGCGCCGTCAGCTTCACCATCGAGACGGCCGGCGCTACGCAGACATTTTGCAAAACTACAGGTGTCACCCTTTCCAATCTTCTACAATTCGCATGGGCTCTTGTACTTCATGTCTACACGGGCCAGGATACCGTTTGCTTTGGATATCTCGTCTCTGACCGTGACATCGACACCGTGGATAGCGACGAGATAGTCGGTCCATTGCTATCGTTGGTGGTTGGCCAAGTAACCATCTCCGAGTCCCTGGTAGAATCCATGCTTCAGCTGCAAAGCAACAATATCAATGCTTCCGAACACAAGGTGTTTGACATTGCCGAAGTGGGGCGACGTTTGAGATGGTCCAGCAAAGGCTTCTCGTCCGCGTTCAACACGCTGTTCAACTACCGCAAGGTCGTTCGTCGCAATAAAGAACTGCCTACGATGCGCTTTCAAAGTATCCGTAATCAAGATCCGCATGAGGTATGTCCACATTTTTCAAATGATCCTACTCCAACTTGCATGAGTCCGAGCCGATATGTATTTGACAAAAAGATAAAATCGCTGATTGCAACATTTAGCAACCTATTGTGCTGAGCTTCAACGATGTGGGTTCACAGTTGAGTGCCAACCTTGCGTATCGTGAATCGGTGTTGTCTTTTGAAAAGGCAAACGCAATCGTAGCTACATTTTCTCATATATTGGCTGCTTTCAGTACGAGCAGATGCCATACCATGACTGATCTGATGTATGCTATTGAGTAGAGCAACATGGCTTGCTAAGGTTCTTTGAAAAAAAAGGAAGATTCAATCAATCATTGTAAGCAGTTGTTGATGTAAGAGGTATCCATGCCAAGGCTTAGCTTATTCAGTATAGAGTTAAGTTGTAAAAATATAAGAGAGTATTAGTATAGAGTTATATATATTTAAAAACCTAACGTTATATCTACCTATATTTACGTAACTTAACTCCACCTCTTTTAAAGGCACGTGCGACTTAACTCTACCCTATACAATACTAGCGTAGGGGGGTACCTATTCACTAGCGTAGGTGCGGCGCTCGCTTGTACGCGGCGCTTGCTTGTAAAACACGTTAGCTAAAATATAGTTTCCACAGACTGTTTACAAGAATAATGTGTAGACGAGATCACAATATTAAGATAACCAGAACGAGCGGACATTGTTTGCTCTTACATCACCTTTGATTCAACGATTTGTGAGAATCTCGACTAAGTCAGACACCTCCTCAAAAACAGAGCTTCCCGGGAACATAATTCCTATCCTAGCAAAGAAACCAGCAACAATGCTGAGTAAGGCTCTGCTTTCCTTCCTACTGTCCTGGTCCGGATCTAGAAGGATGTCTTGGGCAAGCAAACACAAAGCAAATGTGTTTATGAATAGATGGTTGCTATTATATAATAAATCAGTATAGGCGAATTGTAAGAGTCACCACTTTGTGCGACACGTACCAGTCTTGGAGGAGGTATTCAGATGGCATCGTGCTAGAAAGTGGGATTATCTCGCGTGTTGATTGCTTGAGTAGTTCTTTGTACTCACGGGAGTCTGCAGGATAAGAAGTTTATGGATCTCGCAGGCTTGTGCTTAGTAGCTGAAACCGAGCCTCGTAGTAATAGTAGGATGTCTGGAGCTTGATACGCATGACATCATCGTAGTACAAAGAAAGTATCATCTAGCTGACCCTAGTTGACCTATACCATTCTTCAAGCGCCGTTGACAGTGCCACAGCCTTGTTAGAATGCCCTTTGGATGGCTCTTCCTCTGCGCCCAATCGGAGCTGCAGGATGTTGGAGCATATCTTGGAGTATTGAGCCCGAATCCACAACCATTCCGAGGAGTGTATCGTCACAACATCACTCCCAGGTATGCTCTCGGATGGGTTCACCATCGGAAGGGAACCCTCGCTAACTAGCTGTGTTCTGTATTAGCTTTGACCCGACTAGCCTAAGAAAAATATGTAGAGCTTACAGAAAAGGTCTGCCACCTCAACGCATAAGATTTATCAATGCCGTAGAGTAGCCACATGGCTCGTCTAGTCTGAATAACTTGCTCGTCGCTAGTATATAACTTGCGTAGAACGTGTTCTAAATAGAGGTTTAACGAAGCCGCAGTCGATATGCTGCCAAGTATAAGCGTATAGAGCTTGTCTGATCCTGTTTTTTCGGCGAGACCAAGCTGGATAGGTTAGCTGACTGCTTTGTTGTAGATAACCATGTTTTACGAACTATAGCAATAAGCGCCTAGATTAGATTAGTAAAAGCTTTATTTTTATCGAGCTGAAGAACCTACTAAGAACTGACGGAAGCTACCATTCTGGCGAAGTAGCAATATTGAAGTTTCTAGCACAGCATCTAGTAGTGCTACTCTAGAAACTGAGCTTACTTCTGGATCCAACAAAGCCCCCCAAGCGAGTGAAACAATCAGTAATGACATATCGCTAACGTCTATAGGCTGATTTTCTAGGTTAACAAATTGCTCTTATATGCGCGTGACATCCTGTTCTTTAATAAACAGATTCAGACTATTATACATATAAGCTCATGTGATGCGTTTCATTCTTGGTTAACTCACCCTCCTAGCTCTTTGAACGCTCCTTGTAAATCATCAGCAAGGCTCTCGTAGACGATATGCTGGACATACTCTGGATAAGTTTCCCCATAGACAGGCTATCTATGTCCAGGCTCTGATGTTCTCTATCAGAGTCAATCTTGCGCAAGAGACTAGAGAAACAGGTCTGGTGCTTTGAAGAAAGCAGTAAGTTGACTTTGTTTAGCACTGTCTGTTGTCTACGGCTCCCTCTATCTGCGTTCTGGAAAAGAGCAGTAATTCTGTACGTGCTATGCGCTGGGGACAGCCTTGTCTTCGCAGTGTTAGAGATTAGATACGCACAGGTCAGAGAAGAGAAATGGGTCGTTTACCTCTGCTTTGTCGGCTACTATCCGCTTCGAGAAGAGCGCAAGAGTACATGTGGCACCGCCACTGTCTGCTTTAGTTCCTAGCAAGCTATGGTACTGAACCGCGCTATGCTGGTATAGGTTTTCGTTATAACCTCGCTCCGGCCAATCGAGTGTGACCATGCCGTCTGTGGAGTTACCACACGACACCTGGTTCTGCAGGCCACTCGCTTGATCGTCTGCCTCTATCTCCTAGTCAGCTACTAGTCCCATTGGAGAAGAAAGAACTGGTATTGACTAGAATAGCCATAGATGCTTCTATCTAACACTGAAAACGAGAAATAAAGGTCTTGATGTGTACCTGTGTTCTCAGTTTGATAGGTGTCAGGTATGGTTTCGCTTGGGAAATCAAAATCCAGAAATGAATGCGCGCTATCGGACCCTAACTGCGAAAGAAACACCTCGCTAAATGCCGTATTTAGAGGACTTGCTAAGTCTTCAGCAACCTGATCTGCAACAACCTTAGAAGAAAAATCTGAGCTCGATGAATCCGGCATCATGCTGTCATTCATCACGTGCGACTGTGTTATATTGGAAACATCCTTATAAAGACTCTAGATCCTCGTCTCTCGTAGATGACGTTGTGAGCGACGTGTGCTGTATTCACACAGAGATCCGTTCCGCTGTCGTTGTGTTAGTAGCGAGCCTTAGGATAGAACAAAGGCTTTTGTCTACCTGGCAATGGTTACACGGATTCGCACCATCACCTACGTCTCTTAGCATGTACCTCAGCTATCACGGAACATGCTTACATCGAACCTTTTTCTGACGGCACTCTTCGCATGCACCTCTCCGTCGAGTCAACTTAGGACGAGGATGACTCATTTAGTCGACAAGAGCACCTTGAAGCATATGAACGAGGAGAAAGGTAGAAACTAGATGAAACACATGCGGGAATCTGTAGTTGGCATATCTCTATAACACCCTACCGTGACTAGAAATGCCAATATCGAGCGGATGGCCCGGATGATTTCATTAATGCGCATGCAAGGCCCGTTTAGACCCACTTTATCATAATGTAGGCTTTGGTCAGGGGTAGTCCCGGCACCAACTGGTTAAGGATGACTAAACAAAGGATCGAGCATGCGACACAAGTATCTTGCTTTAGCTACGAGGGCAATTGAATGCAGGGCTGTCGTGGACAACAAGCATAGCTGCTAATGTCCTTCCCTGTGCGGCGAGAAACCTTTGTCTTTACACCATTGCACCTTCGGATGTGCGCGGAGGAAAGAGTGCTAGGGATCACTAGCTCTCGCTGCTAGTGAGGGGAGAGACTATAGACTGTTCTCTAGATATCGCGGCCAGATTGTAGATAATGGTGGAGGGGAATCGACAGGCCCCTAGAAAACGGCTGGCTCCCATAGGGAGTGACATGGGGCGGCGCAGATCAATATCTGCGCGGCGTCGGCTGTTGGCTAGTCCAGCCATGCCGGGCATAGCTGCGGGGAAAACGCGGCTGCAACCGAGTAGGATGAATCTACTTACAGAGGCTAAGTTTGATATCTCGCACTAGTGTTTGCATGGCAAAGGGTACAGGGCACCCTGTAGCGGAGGTGAGCACTAATGCCCACTAAGTCGATACTACGCGACAACCACTCGGCCGCAGCCAACCCACCAGCAAAAGGTAAGCACGAGAATAATCTGAACTGATTATTCTAGTATACTATAATATATATAGATATGTAACTTGGTTACACACCCCTATAACAGTTATTTAGCACCCCTAGTTATTTATTATAATTATTATATTAAGCTAAAGCTCTTTAAGTAAGTAAGAAGGGCTTATATAAAATAATAAAATTAGTTAAGTATAGCTATTTTTAAGCTTTATCTTTTTTTCTTATATTAGATTATTATAAACTTTATACTAATATACTGGCTTTCTCTATAATATTAAAATTTATACTCTGTATAGTACGCCTATATTTACAAAATGTAAGGGGCTGCGCTCTGGTGAGTAATCGCTTGGTATACAAGAGGTTGTATTCGATAGAGAGCTAAGCTTCTAAGCTACGTGGCTATCTATCTACAAGCAGTTGCCTGAGCAACTATTGGACCGATAAGGCGTGGCCTATTGGGTACCTCGAGTCAACCGAGATTCCATCGAGGATCTCATCCAAAGGGCGTTTAGCCCGTTACACAAAAGATACTAATACTACTACTAGTGTATTGGCTAAGCCTACTAATGTTGACCCTTGCATACCGCGTGGTTATTTAACGCCTTTCGCGTGGTCAAATAACTTTTGCCGGGTCGCTTATAGGTGGCATAAACACAGAATTGAAAGCCTCGTCCTCAGCTCTCAGCCCAAGATTTAGCCGTCTCGTCTTCTGTTCATCCAATCGTGTTGATCTTGATTCCCACCGGCAGAGTATCACTCGACCCTCGACGATTAGACCATGACCCGGAACAGTTCAAACAAGATCGTGCTCGTCACTGGAGCCAACCAAGGTCTAGGCCTCGCCATCATTGAAGTTGCCGGCAAACGTTATCCCTCCAACATGTACATTCTCTGCGCGCGAGACATCAAGAAGGGCCAGGAAGCGGTCCAGCAGCTCCGTGAGCGGGGATGCAGCGCTGCCATTGATGTGGTGGAGCTGGACGTGACCAATGACGATCACATTGCCGCCGCAGTCAAACATGTAGACATACAGTACGGACGACTTGATGGTAAGCACGCCATCCGCCTTGGTTTCGGGTTCAGCCGAGATGCCGCCAGAAACCATGCGAGGCTAACGGAAGGCGGTTGCCGCCCGCGACACTAGTCCTTATCAACAACGCAGGTTTTGTCCGACTCGGCCATCAGGACACAGAGCTCTCGGCCATGCGTGCCACGTACAACGAGTACATGAATGTGCACATTACATCGGTGGCTGTGGTCACGCACGCATTTACCCCACTGTTGCACAAGTCAGCCGCACCCAAGGTCATCAATGTCACATCCGGACTGGGCAGCATTACCAACGTCTTGTCGCCACGCAAGATGGCGCGCGTTCCGCCGTACGGAGCCAGCAAGGTGGGGATGAATGGACTGACGGCGCACTTGCAGGTCAGTGAGAACGAGCGGGTAGCGACGGATAGGACCGACACGCCACGCATCCGCTTCTTTATCTCGAATCCGGGGTTGCTAAAGACGGCCTTCTCCAATTACATTTCGTGGGGGAAGGAGCCGCAGGCCGGCGCGGAGAGTATCGTGCAGCTATTGGGCGATGAAGAAGGCAAATTTGACCATGCTATGCAATGGGAGCATGAGGAGGGTGACATGCGTGTCGTGCCGTGGTGAATTCTGCAAACAATAAGATAGGCACCTCTTCGGGTCGTTTTGGACGTATGAGCCTTATTGTATAGTAGCAAGTAGCGCAGTTTTTGCTAAGAGTAGGCTAAGTGATAGGAACCATGCTAGATTGCGCTCGGGTCGGTTTGTACCGATCCGAGACGGCAAAGACAAGTTCTTTTTTAGTCGGATCAGCACTAGATAATATGTACAATACTCTGTGAAGTGTTAAGCCTTCTCAAGCCTTTTTACGCCTTTTCAAGCCTTTTCTAGTTTCTGGCAGCGCCACTTCTCCCCTGAACCCTGCAGGACACTTTCGTTTAGACTAGCGAATTGGGTCCCTACTTTGAGTAGCTTCTACCGCAATGTCCCCGTACCCTTATATGCAGATTTAAACGTAGTAATAGTCCGGTCTTAGCGTAATTGTAAGCGCTATAGTTGTGTCAACACTATAGTCTCTAACGATCGGCACCCGCAGCTTCACTCTTACAGGCAGTAACACGGATTGAGATCAGTGCGCAGCGAGGGTGTAGCTGACTAGTTAAACTCTTTGTTCAAGGCCACTAGGCCCTCAGGCCCCACCTCATGGCGCTTATGTAGTGTGCATAGTTAGTACTAACTTGTTCACGCAAGATGAGGCGAAGCTGCAGATGTCGCGGCCTGGGTAATGGGTGTGAAGCTTTAACGCTAGCCTAGTTTGCGTCACGGTGTAGTAGTGAGAGAAGATAAGAGCGTATTGCATGAATAATAGTTATGTAGTTGAGCGTTAACGGCGTAGAAATGCTATATCTCTAAATAGATCTTAGTTACACTGTGTGCTAACTATTGTATGTATGTGGGAATGTTGTATCACGCTTTACCTGCGTAGGTAGGACTTGCAGCTAGTGTGATGAGATAAAGAAGCTACTAATATCGACTGTTAGATGTCCCTCTCAAGCGTATAGTGGAAACGAGATAGTGTGCCCGCGCCTATTCCTTAAACTGGTATATAGTGGCTCTATGCTTCTTATCTGTAAATTACTTATAGTTGTTGGACTAATATTGGCCATGGTACGAGCGGCTAATATAGGGATGAAAAGAAAAATAGGATTAGTTAAAGCTTTCGTTAGCAATTAAGCCAGCCCTTTAACTAACCTAAGTCTCTAGTGTTTGTGTGTTGAAGGGTTTTATATATAAGACGCTTCTTTGGGGTTACTCTCTTAGTAGTGCTATTGTTTCATAGTTTATAAACGAGAAATTTAACTTAATTATTTGTCCTAACTATACGGTTCTACAATGCGACGTGCAACGCTAGCCCTACTAGTAATATACTTTGCAAGTGCTGCAGCGGCAGTAGCAGCTTCCTTGCCATAGGGTCCATCGTGTGACATTTCCTTAGCTAACATTGGATTATCTTAGGACTTGACGATATTCTTCCCTGATAGTTTAGGATGTGAGATTGAGAACGTCTGTTGGACTGAGTATATAGCTTCTACCTATTCAGTTTTAGTCCGACCAACCTATGTGTTAGACGTGTAGGCTCTAGTAGTTCTATTATTCTCTTTTTTCTCTAATCGTCGCTAATAGTGTATAGGTTAAGTTCGTTATCTGCTGTAATATCGTATTCCTTGCAAGCTCCGGTCAGCATGGGTATGATATTGAACTGGCCGAGCTATAGAATGGGATGGAGATTGACTTGTTAGCTTTCCGAAACGTCCTAGTGGACGCTGATAAGAATACTCTAACTGTTGGTGGTACAGTCCGCTTTATAGACGTGTTCGACCTGGTTTTCAATGTAGGAAAAGAGCCTCGCAAATGATACTAGGGCGATTGTTGACTACTTAGCTTCATTTGGGTCGAATATGCCTGCGAAGCTGTCGTTCCTTGTTGCAGCCCTCTATAATGAGAAGCTGTATGGCGGAGTAAGTAACCCTTAGTTGCGTTGATCTATGCCGAGAGTAATAGGGCACTAACTATACCTCTCTTCTATTGTTCGCTATTATCGTGAGTGGGCTTTATATGGGTCCGCGAAGTGAGGCCGAACAGTTACTAGGGCCGCTCCTCTAGCACGCTACCCTATTTAAGTAAAATGTTAGCATAGTACCCGAAAACAAATTAGTCCATGCCGTGACCTACTGCTCTCAAGGAACCTCTACTATCGCTTGCTTAGGAAAGAGAGTTAAGCGCAGCATCTTTGGCAGGACTATCAACACGTACGACAAGGCTAGGTTCATTAATTTCGTTAAGGCATACGCAAACCTCTCAACAAATCATACTAATCTCTAAGGTAGCGTGTTGTTTATTGAATGTTTTAGTAATTACTAGGTATAAGAGATCCTAGACGACACCTTGGCTTATCCTTAGCGTAATATAACTGCCTATCTGTACGTATTGCCTGATGTCTTGGTCTAAGTATAACGTATCTACTAACTAACTATCTTCAGTCTATTTAACTACGCCTGGATAGATCCTGTAAACTAGCAACCCATCGACTAGTTCAGGAAATAGTAGCGCGCAGCATTTTATAAGACAGCGGGATTTAACCCCTTATAAATCTACGTTAACTGCGGGCACGGAGACGAAAGCAACGAGGTACTATACTTGGCTAGAAAACTTCCCCGGTTACGTACTCTTAAGAGGAAGTGGAACCCTAACAACGTATTCCAATTCTAGAATCTAAGATAAATAATATATATACCAGTAGAATAGCTAGTAGATAAAGAGTAGAGAAGAGTAGAGCGAATCCTATAGAGCTACCTTAGCAACTATTCTCTCTCCCCTAGCACGTTCTTTATCTCTTTTAACTAGAACCTTCGATAGGCTGCCTCTAAGTCTACTACTAGACAATTAGCAACAAAGACTACCGCTGAGCTACTAATAGAACAAGCAGCTACTTCCGCTACTCTCTATTATTCTAACAGGTTATGAGCCTAGAAGTCTTATTATTTTGATATAGAAGTCTTATATCACTTCCACTCGAGCTGTAGTCTGAAAAGCTAAGCAGATAATAAGCAATTAGCGCGTATCGCGCTGATCTGAGTATACACATCCAACTACTATAACAACAAGACAAGCTTATTATCATGTGCATACCTTTTAGTACACTAGTCGGCGCGACCCACAATCGAGTAGATGGAAATAAGCTGATATTTAATCGCTACAAAGGATTGATTAGAGAAGGTGCCTATCTACGTACGAAAGGAAATTGCAATAGATACTATATGCTAGTCACGTGATGCTACACCACAATACATTTCTAATTTCGTTGGAATGCTGGCACAAGGGTTGCTGGCAACGCTATGCACCAGCATGACACCTATGAATACAAGTACGTAAGATTAACATAACAGGGAATTGTTATCCGGATTACTACCGATTATTATTATTTACTCGGATTATTTTGCGTAAACTTTTATATAAATAGCCGAAACTCTGTTTATAGAAACTTGGAGTAAGAGTACGTCCACGCATAAAGTTTTAGCCAAAGAACGCTTTATGGAGATTGCCGAAACATTAAGCTAAACGTGTGCTTTCTAGTTGTCCAGTCATCACCCCTAAAAAGATAATACAAGATTACTTATCAATTGATCAGTTAACAAAAGCAGACTACGAGGGAACTTTAATAATTAATCAGCAAATATCCGCCAAACATAGCTCCGAAGTTGAAAACTCTTTTTTTGCGCAGACGTACCTCCGGAAGTATAAACCTATATAAGTCATCTCTATACTCACGCTCCATACGATAAAAGGGGTTAACTTTAATTATTGTCAATGGTTGGGGTATATAAGTCGATCTAGTTCCTGTTATTTTCTAGTATGTTCTAAGATCATCTAAGACCTCTTTCTACCTCTACAGTCCCTCCACGTTACCCTCGATACCGATCATAACACTTCCGAGCTATTCTAGCCACTTATCCATTGTATAGCTGCCCTCCGTTCACTAGCTCCTTGCAGAGTTCGCCCGCTATCCTCTACTCTTAAAGAAAGTGATCTTCTAATATATCCTAAAAGTTATAAGGCCTTCACCTACTCCTATCATTTACTAAAATTCTATAGAAACCCACGTACCATCTTTACACTTTCAAAACAAATGCATTTAGTACCACTTATTGCATTTGCTAGCATCTTCATAAGATGTTCAGGCCAATTGATCCTTGGAACTATCGCGTTAATCGAATTAACTATCGAATTTATGGAGTTCGAGGCCGTCGTCGCTACCGCTGAGATTAGTATTGAGGGGCCTATTGTTGCTGCTACTGAAGAGGGAGTAGCAGATGGAGTTATACTCCAAACAGACATGGACGTGGGAGGATCGTACACTGTTAGAGCTGGACATCCGGGGGCAGTGGGAAGTCGACAGGTTAGTGGTTCATTGGACCTTGCGCCTCTTCGACGCACAGATACAGTGGTCAATGGACAGGTGAACCTTAATTTAAGGAGTCTACGTGTGAACGACAACACAATAACTCCTAGGGTTCAAGTATCGGTCCCATTCAAGTCTAGCATAACGTTCGGACCTGGACATGGACCTGGCTCGAGTGCCAGTGTTGGTTTCAGTATGCAGGACGCCGTTGTTAACGGCGTAGGACGTTTTGGGATTGGGCGAAACAGTGATTTGGTCTGGAGAATCAGCTCATCCACAGGCAGGTTCCATGCCTCAAGTTAGGGTCAGATAAAGAACAAAACACCGGTTCTGGTTAGGAAAATCTTAAGAGCAAAAGAGATCACTCTTCTTCCTCACCTTAAAGCGTATAGCTTCGTTTGAAAAAAATACTCTTCTTTTATTACGAAAAGCCGTTATAATCAAACAATCAAGATAGAAATAGTTATAGAAGTCGCTAATAAATATAATATTTTGTTCTTTTATAAATTTTAGTCAGCCCCGGCCTGTCAGGAACCTTTTTATGAAAAATAAAATTTTAGGATTTATTAGAACTAGTTA